CTCTCTCTCTCTCTCTCTCTCTCTCTCTCTCTCTCTCTCTCTCTCTCTCTCTCTCTCCTTCAACTGTTTTCCCGTTTTTTTTTTACGTGTGTATTTATTTATTTATTATTATTATTATTTTTTATCGTGTGTCGTCCCTACAGAAGCGGAGCCCGGCCTTGGCGCTACGACCGGGCCTTCCCTTGGCCGACCAGCCTGAGGCTGCGGCGCGTATACGGGAAGGCCCGCGGCCGAACACTGAGCGAGGTACTGGTGGTTTTAGAAGAACAGTCAATTTAACAAATGATCTAACATTTCCAAATGTTTGGTGGACAAATAACAATTTGATTTTAAATTCATTAAGTCAATTTCCATATCTATCTATTTTATACTGAAGTTCATATTTCTAATGAATATTTTATGCAATTATTATTCACTAGAAATCAATCATTTAACATGAAGAATTTTTATAAGAGTAGCAATTATGGTTCGTCTGTCTTTATAAGATGGCTACTTATATTTTAGTAAGAATTAAGGTAGAAAACCATTTGCTTGTTTATCCTTCCAAATGTTTCGATTGAACTGAAAGAAAAGGATTAGAACTCGGGTCTGCTCGTTAACACTTGATGGGTTGACCATTCAGCCACACCGGTTGGGTCGGGCCCACTTGGCCAACTGTAGCATTGAGAATTTTTTTTATTATAATCGTTTATTATTTAAATTACTATCAATCCACAAGCTATGACACTCGCATGGAGAGAATCGACAGCAGAGCAGAGCAGAATGGGATACCTAAAGCAGCAGAGGACGGCATTGTTTTTCTTGTTGTTTTTGTTGTTGTCAACAAAAAATGTATACCCAGGTCGAAAGGGCATATTAGTGTTTCTTTGTTTCTTTTTTAATAGAAAGTGGAAGCTATGACCTTTGGGACATCCGTAAAAATTGGAACAATACGGAGAAGATTAGCATGGATGGACCCTGTGCACATTGACACACATAAATCGAGAAATGTTTAAAAAACTCGAAGAAACAAACAAACAAAAAAAAAACGGCAGCCACGTCCTTCAGTACATTCGTCAAAATTGGAATGATACAATGAAGATTAGCATGGCCCCTGCAGCGAGGATGACACATAAGCCAAGAAATGGTCCAAATTAGAAAAAAAAGGGCATCCACATGTCTCTTGCTTTTATTTCTCATCCGGCTGCTAGAAGATGCAAACACGTCAAGACTCAAGAGGGCATCATTGTCGTCCACCGGAACCATTTTCTTTTCCAAAAAAGGTTGGCTGACGTGCCGATATGTTGACGTCAGTGTAAATGACCTCGCCCCCGGAGGTATTGGTCACGTCAACTATAGCTATCAATCTCTCTACTTCCTCTCTTTTCCTTCCACAAGAACTGCAACACAGCTCTCCTACAACTTCTTCGTTCTATTGTACTCTCTCTACTGAGTGGAAACTCCCTCCTGAACGAAAACTCTCTTCAACCCAACCTTATAAAAAATCCTCTCGATACCTGACCCATCTGTGCCGAGACAGCTCTCTCTTCCTCCCTCATAATGGTTCTCGCTTTGCTTCGTCCACAACAAACAAATGCACCCCATCACATCTGCCGCATCCACCAAACCTGCCGCCGAACCTGTGAAGCTGGTTAAATCTTGCTTCCAAACCAGCAGCCAAGTGCGGCAAACCTGTTGTCAGACCTGTCGAATCTGGCAAGCCCATGTATTCTATATATAACAAATATAGCCACTGCAAAACCTGTGACACCCTTTCCTGACACCTGACATGTGGGTGAAGGTGCTGCAATGGGACAGCTTGCCGCCAAACAACGAAAAAGTGTCTGACGGACGGAGGATGGGCTGCAAAGATGAAAAAAGAGCAGCAGTCCCCTGGCTGACCACACACAGCAAACTGCCAATCCCTATCTGCAAAGTGAAAATTGTCTCCCTCTCTCATCTTCTTCCCATCCATAACCCTCACACACCCTCCAGCTCGAGCACCAGAGCCCTCTTTACGCCTGGCTCCACTACTTACGGCATGCACAAAAGACAAAAAACATGGCCGTTGAGCACTACAAGAGCATACCTCCCCTTGTTCTAGCGGACGATCCACTCTCGTTTTGCAAAATTGGTGAGTAGCGAAGCAAGGGCCGTTGAGCACTACAAGAGTGCGTTGGATTTGATTGCCAGGCAAACAATCGTGGAGCAAACGGAGTCGCTCGACGTGGTGGCGAGCTGACTGCAGGAAGAAAGTACACACCACAGTTCCCGATCTTCATTGCAATCAACCGACGGCGACGATCGCAAATATATTATAATATGCGGCGAATTTATGCCCCTCCCTCAAGCTTGCAGCAGCGCAAAGAGGTGTGAAACTGCATGTTTGTTAAATTTCCGATTTCCCTCGGAATGCGACTGTTTCACACCTCTAAAGGTGTACCCTCATTTGGAACCATGCTTCAGTCACTCTGTGCCCATCACATGTCGGCACTGACGGCTAGACCTTCCCGATTAACCCAGACACGCCAGCAAACTGACCAACCCGGTTTTGCAACGCGCAAGGTAAACCTTCTCGATAAACCCAGACACGCCGGCAAACTTACCAACCCGGTTTTGGAACCATTATGTACATAATGGTTCCAGGCATTGGCAAATCTGGATTAACTCGCTCATTTTTTTAACATGTGGTATGCATCGATAAACCATGTACGCGAGTCACAAGGTAAACCTGCTGCGCCACATGTTGTATAGACCACCTGGCTCAGTGGATCGACAATGTTCATCCATGCATGTGGTTAACCTGGTGCAATAAAAAAGAGGTAAGCCTTGAGCCAGTCCATTGGCAAAACCCGATGGGCTGGCTCAAGGAAACAGGGGCTGCTGCTGAAGACCTGAGTTCTCTGGCACCCCCATGATCAGATTCATGTTCTGCAGTGCCTGGCCAGATGCGCCTTTCACCAGATTGTCAATCTGTAGGGGCACAAAGAACAAAGCCCGCCAATCAAAGGAATGAGACGCATGGCTCGCTAACGAGATTCCTTATATTCGCGGTAAAACACACACACACACACGCACATCGTGCCAGCCTACGTCAATATCCAATATAGCAAATATCTCCTACATAGTACATAGTCAATGGGATAACGACTAAGGGAGTGTGGTTATTCCTGGAAATGGAGAACCGCAAAGTATATGGGCCAGAGTCGTAGGTGCTGCTATGGACTGCATGAACGGAAACAACTTATCACCAGAACCGTCGTATCGCAGCTTGCTATGCTATGGGTTATGCTAAGAACCCATAGCAATAATGCACACCAACAATCTTCAACATAATCCAACAGCACCGGCACACAATTGGCGAGGGGGATCCTAAAAGACGAGAATATCAACATGCAGAACCAGTAACGTAGCTCTTTTTTTTTTTTTTTTTTTTTTTTTTTTAACCAGTAACGTAGCTCTATCTAGTACTGAAAGAAACAAACAAGAGTAACGTAGCTCTTTTTTTTTTCTTTTTTTCTTTTTTTAACAAGTAACGTAGCTTTATTATTATTATTATTATTATTATTATTATTATTATTATTATTATTTTTATTTTTATTTTATTTTTTTAACCAGTAACGTAGCTCTATCTACTACTGAAAGAAACAAACAAGACAGGTCCGTATGCAACCAAACCAGAACAATAAATACCCTTGCATTCGGAAAACGTTTAAAAAAGAAGACAAAAGACAAGCGCAACATTATCATATCGAATAGAAAGGGAGAGAACAGAATAACTCTGGCCAGTACAAGTCTGACGTAGTGTCAGAAAGGACTGGGAAGTAAGGGGGGGGGTGTGAGTTGCAAAGCAACCGTCGAACACCAATCCCCCCAAACCCATGCAAAGGCCTGAAGAAAATTTAGACAAGTAAGAAAACGACTACAGGGTTCTTTTATATCTTTCATGTATTTAAGGGACGCTGGACCCGGTTTCCAGCTGGTGTTGCTCCCCACCAATAGCTGGAGCGGTTTAAAAAAAAAAAAAAAACGAGAACAGGGCTCCTCCCTTCTACCTTTCTGAACTGGAAGTAACCCCCCCCCTCCCTCTCCTCCCCCCCTCCCTCTCCCCACCCCACCCCACCACAACCACCACCACCACCACCAAATCCCACTTGTAAACAACACGGACTTGCGCTAAAAACAACAAAAGCATGTGTGCCTGTGTGTGTTGTTTGTGCATGGAGGGATGCATGTATGTCACGTGACTGCTCCTGGTGAAACACACCCCGGGAGAATGAAGAAAACACGCTGCTCCTTAAGAATGACGACAAGCTGAAGTCTGATATACACAAACCAACACACAAACTTCGGGGAAATGATTTGGAAACTTACCACAGAGATTATAATTGCCCTTCCAGGAATGCGGTCTTCAAAGAGTCCGAGCAAGCAGTAGTTCGATCCCCTGACGTAGTGTGTGTGTGGAACGCCTCCCTTTGGCATCACCGTAACAAACTCCTCATCCTGCAAGGCATTGATGAGCAGTGGGACAGTGCATTAAGCATGCCAGAGTATAAATGAGGAGCATGCACACTGCCAACAACAGCAAGTAAACGACAGAACAAAACAAACTAGTGATGCAAAGAGTGCAAGATCGTCTTATTATCTGACGTGAACTGGCTTCAAACTTCAAAGTCCACTGCCGAAACACATTTCTGAAGCCTGATTCTTGATTGGTCGTTTGCGACAGGACTGCAGGGTCCCTGCGTTTGTCAAAATGGCCCTTGGTCTGAAACGATAATGTCCAAAAAATCTGTGTGTCAGTCCACGACCTTTCGAAAGCAGTCTTAGGAAAAGCCCAACATAGCCAGCAAACGGGACAGAGCCAGCATGGGAAGTACTCTTTGAGTTGTACCTTTTGGCTGAACTGAAGTTCTGAGGTCAAAAGTCTGTCTTTGGGCCTCAAAACAGGTCTTGAAAAGTCCTTAGGTCCGTCGACCTGGGGTCAGTGCATGGCTGTCGTCAGCTCGTGTCGTGAGATGTTGGGTTAAGTCCCGCAACGAGCGCAACCCTCGTTTCTAGTTGCCATTATGGAACTCTAGAGAGACTGCCGGTGATAATCCGGAGGAAGGTGAGGATGACGTCAAGTCAGCGTGCCCCTTACATCCTGAGCGACACACGTGCTACAATGGCCGGGACACAACTCGCAAAACCTTACCAGCCCTTGACATATGAAAGAAACTCCTCGTAAGAGATGTATTTTGAGAGAGAGAGAGAGAGAGAGAGAGAGAGAGAGAGAGAGAGAGAGAGAGAGAGAGAGAGAGAGAGAGAGAGAGAGAGAGAGTAGGCTGTGCATACGGAGTGAGCAGGAGAGTAGTATAGGTGGACACATCATAGGAGGTACTACATTGTGGTTGTATTGACGAGTGGAGACAAGGAGTTGGGCTTTCATTATCGAGGGACTCCAATGTCAGTGTGTACTCGTTTGGTGCGCTCTTGGCTTTGTTGCTTTGAGTCTTCTGCTGGACGGAAAATTTGTGTTCTCATTGATTGCTGCCTTTCATTTCCTTTCATTTCCACTATTTCTCCGTCATACATATGTCTTCAAATTTCCTTTCTCCAGACTATGCTGTGTTCTCCGACGTCAGCCTGCATCGGGCTCTCCAGCAGAGCATTGGTGCTGCTGAACAAATCGACCATGCCCCAACGCTCAGAGTAAATCAGCTCCACCCGGTCTTTGGCTATCTATACACGATCTATCTTTCTTCTTGGGTATAATAAATTTTACTATTTTATTTTTTTATTCTTGTGAATCTTTTTACTAATTTAGCAATTTACTAATTTCGTTAATAATGCTGAGGCCTGATGGACCATTCTTTGCAGGAGAAACAACAAGAACGCACTTGATGCTGTATTGCAGGAGAATCGTATATGTAAAAGGTGGACATGTCATAACGTCGCACACACACGTGATGCTGCATTGCATGAAGGTGAATTGGTAATCACCTGGAACTGCAATTGAAGTCGCTCCCTGAGATCATCCACTGTTTTCCCGGGTTCCATCTCCACATAAATAGTCGACTGCATTCCCCGGATCTGCAAAAAGGAAACACCAAAAGTTGTCGAATGGCAACAACCATGTAAGGAGGAGTAATTTGAGCAGAGATTCCACAACTCTCAAATTTCGAAGTGTCAGGAATGGCTCAAAGTAGTTCAAATACTGGAAGATGACGCAACCATGAAAAGAGAACAGGCTGTTCTCAAAAACATAGTCGAATGGCAACAACCTGTTCTCTTTTCTTTGCTCTTTGAGTGAGTCAAATGCTGGAAGATGACGCAGACGCTGCTGCAGCGCAATAAAAGTGAGAGAATTTACTTTCCCAGAGTGAAGAAAACACGACTAAGCCGGTCGAATGCCGCAACATGACAAAAATGTGCTGCGGCAGTACGATATAATGTGAGTGTACAGGCTGGGTGAAGGGGAAGGGAGGTAGAAAGAAGGAGGTGCCGGGAACATTATAATGTGCACACAAAGGTGCTGTGCTAGCATAACATAATCTGATTCTCTGAAGTGCAATGGCTGGAAAAAAAAAAGTTCAAAAAACAAAAGTGCACCATACATTACAAATTACAATATGCACCACACGTGCCACGGATGAACAAGAGAGAGAGAGAGAGAGAGAGAGAGAGAGAGAGAGAGAGAGAGAGAGAGAGAGAGAGCAAGGTGGCCTCCCGCCTGTTGGCATACATTGCCGAATGCAGAGAGCTTTCCCGGGCTTGTTGGCTCATAGCATTGGTATCTGGCTGGTCTGATCACCATCAGCCCGTTTGGTCTTGCCAAAACCGGCGGTCCCCATGTGCGGTCACCTACACACCGAACAGACACCCTTGTAAAGATGCCGTCCCGACAACATGGAGCATTGGAGGCCAATGCTTAGGTGGTTGACGGAGGGGGGAAAGTACAAGATCGATGCTAAGAAAAGCGAGTTCGGCGAAGATGATATCCTCTACTTGGGATAGGTCATTGGAAAGCAGATGGCACAGCCTGGCAGACGGTGAGTTGTGTACATAGCAGATAGCAGATAGTTACGATCCCCTGCCTTTCTCTTCACCTCCGGATATCTCATCTATGGATATACACAACATCCAACTGGACGACCAGCACCACTAAATGAAGAAAAACCTGCAGTACATAATGAGGGATGAGCGAAGTTTACCATCGGTAATAAGTGAGGTGTGAAGCTGACTCTCATTCTCTTCCCGGCAAAGTCAGCAAGCCCTTGCTCAATCTCAGGCACTGCAAAAGCACAGTACAAGACATGGAAACACAAACACCAAGCACATAGACAGTGAGTGAACACAAATTTAGCTGTACTGTGTTTGCCATTGGCTTAGGTTATTCAACTCAAGTAGCATCATCATGATGTTATTCTTTTTCTTTTCGTTTGAGAAACAAATGTGTTTCTCGAGTGCTTTCAAATGTTTGACGAAGACACATGGGCAAATGCAATCGGTAAAAAAAGCCATCCATCTCTCTCTCTCTCTCTCTCTCTCTCTCTCTCTCTCTCTCTCTCTCTCTCTCTCTCTCTCTCTCTCTCTCTCTCTCTCTCT